TCTCTCTCTCTCTCTCTCTCTCTCTCTCTCTCTCTCTCTTTTAGTCTGCTGATGCAGTGAAGTCAGATAGCGAGAGGGTGAGAAGGAGATGGTGGACTGAGAAGAGGAGGAAGAAGAACTCCCTCTCTCATGTGCCAGGTACTAACCTGTGAAGATGGCGCTGTGCTGCAGGTACCTCGAAGATGAAGCTGGAGCAATGGCGCTGCAGGTAAGTATCCCTGGCCTCCGCCCAACCTCTATCTCTCTAGTACTACTCTAGCTATGGCGCCCAGCGCTGAAGACTACAACTAACGCTACTAGCGCCCAACGATGAAGACTACTGCTAACGCTACTACTACTCCTGCAACGCTCCTCCAGAGTGCTGCTGCCGAATCCTGAAGACTACTCACTGCCTCCTGCCTACCCATGAAGTGCATGGGAAGTCCCTATGTACTACCTCGGCCTGCCTCCTGACTGCCTCCGACTGCCTGCAATTGCAGGGCGGGCAGTCCAGGAGGCTGCTCTGGCGCTGCAGCTGTCGTGGGAACAAGCCAAAAATAGCCCGTTCCTAAAACCCTGGTTTGGTGCCTGAGTTTCAGGGCAGGTCGGTCTGATGAAAGACCAAAAATGGCCCTTCGTTTCAAGCTAAAAAGGCTACTGCCATTTTTTGTCTGAAACGACACAGGGTCTGTAAGCCCCTGTTTTTTCAGGCTTTCGAGCTGAACAGACACGGGGCCTATAGGCCCTGGTTTTCAGGCTTTCAACCTGAAGGACGCAGGGCCTGGAAAATGGCCCTCGTGTGCAGGCGCAGCATGTAACACCCCCCCACCTTATGAAGTCAGGCCGAGGCAAGGGCGAAGCTGACGATCTGAAGGTGGAACCTGGACGCGGGTGCGGCGTGGAGCCGAAGAGACCGACTTGCCTTGCATCTTGCGTTCGTAGCGTGCGAGAACATCTGGAGCTGTTTCTTGAAGTTCCGCACAGGTCAACCAATGGTCGGCTCGGTGTGTGCAGTATGCAAAATGGACCAAGTACTCGGTTGGCCTGTTGCCGTGGCGTCGCTGGGAGATGATGTCGCCGACCTCCTGAAAACCGTCTATAGAGGGTGGGTCTTGAGATCGTCGCCTGGGAAAATCGTCACATTTCGCTGGCGTGTAAAGAGCCAACTTGGAGCAATGAAAGCCCGGGTAGACGGGCAAGTGGGCGGGCACCTGAATAGTGAAGAAGGTCCCTCAGGTGCGTCCCCAGCGGGTGCCACAGTCGGCCAGGGCCCCATCCATTTCGGGAGGAGCTTGCGAGAGATGTCTTGTTCAAGGCTGAATTCCACAGCGGAAACCCAAACGAGGTCGCCGGCACGGAATGGGCAAGGGAGACGCTGGCAATTGGCCTGCTGGCTCATGCGTTGCTGCGTCTTAGCCATCTGGTTGCGTGCCTTGACAAGAAGCTCTTGCATTCGACGTAAGAACAAAAAATGGTCGTCGCTCGTGGAATGATGGTGTCCAACGGAGAAGTGACCGGCGAGCCGTGCTCGAATTCGAAGGGTGACATCCCAATAGCCAGGTGGATGGAGGAGTTGTAGGCCAACTTAACATCCGGCAGCCGCTCAACCCAATCCTTCTGGTCAGGATGGATGAGAGTGCGAAGGAGAACCTGTGCGGTCTGGTGCGCCCTCTCCGTTTGGCCATCGGTCTTGAGGTGGCGAGCTGAACAGGGCTTGAGAGATGAGCCCCATCGCTTGATGAGCGCCAACCAAAAATCGGACATGAACCGAGTGTCGCGGTCGCAGACGATTTCCTTGGGGTAACCCTTGGTTCGAATCCAACCGGCGTAAACAACCTCGACCAACTCCGGTGCCTTGGCATGATAGCGGCAAGGCAAAAACATGGCGAACTTGGTGAGTCGGTCGACCACCGTGAGAATCCCATCCACGCCGGTCTTGTGCTTGGGGAACGGGCCGGTAATGTCCATGACAATCGCTTCCCTTCGCCGCAAGGGGACCGGTAATGGTCGCAACTCGCCGTATGGACGATGGTTGCGGGATTTGCAGCGTCGGCAAACCTCGCATGACTCGCAATAGCGTGTGACGTCGACAGGAAGGCCGGGCCACCAAAATCGCTCGCGAAGTCGGCCAATCGCGCGATTGACTCCAAAGTGTCCGGTGGCGGGAGCATCGTGGAACTCGCCAAAAAGCCATGTACGCAAGTGAGGGTCACTCAGTACGCAAAGAAGGTCCTTCCGCCGTGTGTGGACAAGCAAGTACCCCTCTTGGATCCGGTAGTGAGAAGGCGCCGGATTAGGAGAGGAGCAATTCGCGTACTTGTCGTGAAACTCCGGGTCGGCTTGGTAGCCGCGGATGAAGCTGTCCCGCAGGTCGTTGTCGATCTTGAAGGTTGAATAGACCGCGGTACAATGATCCGGACGCCATGAAAGAGCATCCGCAAAACGGTTCGACTTCCCCGGAATGTGATCGGGAAAGAAGTTGAACTGGTCGATAAAAGCCATCCATCGAGTGATGGTGCTGTTGACGGTGTCTTGGGTCTTGTAAAAGACCAACGGATCATCGGAATTGGCTTCGACCAAGGAGGAAGTGCCACCACCGCTTGAGCACGTGGACGAAGGCGAGGAGTTCCTTCTTGCGTGCGTCGCCAATGGAGTGCACGACGGGCACTTTCTTGCTGAAATACTCGACCGGGTGCCAGTCCACGCCATCGTGTTGCTCAAGGACGGCACCAATGCCATAGCCGGACGCATCTATAGTGACGTGCGTAGGCAAAAGTGGGTCGTATATGCGCAAGACCTCCACAGATAATAGCGCGGCTTTGAGAGCCAAAAATGATTCCCGCGCCTCCTCTCCGAAGTCAAACTGCCAATCCTCGCATTGAAGCTTGGTCAAGTGGGCCGCGATCTTCGAGTAACCCTTGATAAAACGCTGGTAGTAGCCGGCGAGGCCAAGGAACGAACGGACATCCGTGATGTTCCGTGGCTCCGCCACTCTTGGATGGCTTGAATCTTGTCTGATAGCGGACTGATGCCCTCCGGTGTGACAAAATGGCCCAAGTATTCCAGCTCTTGCCTAACAAATTTGCACTTGTCACGGTTGGCCTTGTACTTGGCGCGGCGGAGCGTCTCCAACACTCGTCGAAGGTGCTCAAGATGATCCTCCAATGACCGGCTATGGACGAGAATATTGTCTAAGTAGACTAGGACGAACCGGTCCAACATCGTACGAAACTCGTTGGTCATTGCCGCCTGAAAGGTCGCCAGGGCGTTGGTGAGGCCAAAAGGCATTACCACCCACTCAAAATGCCCATACTGCGTCTTGAACACAGATTTGTAACGATCGTTCGGTCGGATCGAGATTTGATGATATCCCGACTTCAAATCCAACTTATAAAAATACTTCGTGCCGCCCAATCGCTCAAGAAGATCGTCGATGCGAGGAAGAGGCCCCGCATTCTTGACGGTTTGCGTGTTGAGCTTGAGGTAGTCGATGCACAATCGTAGATCTTTGTTCTTCTTCCGTACGAAGAGAACTCCGTATGGAGAGCTACTAGGGCGGATCCAACCCTTGTCCAACAAAGCATCGAGTTGCGCGCGAAGGACCGTAAGCTCCTCCTCGCTCATGCGATAAATGCAACCTTTCGGCGGCACGACACCGACCTCAAGAATGATCTCGTGAGAGATCGGCCGATCCGGCACCACACCGGTAGGTGACTCGAAGATGTCGGCGAACTCGTCAAGCAACCGCACCACACGGTGGTCCGAAGACAAGTCCGTGGGTGAAGAGTCAGCTACCGCGACGGTCTGTAGGAAACATAGGCCGATTTCGTTGGGCTGCTCATAAGCACAAGTAGCCCGGAATGACTTGGCCGTCAGCACTTGGCACGGAATCTAAGGGTGCGGAAGAGGAATAGTACACGCCACTTCGGCGCCGAAGGCGTCGCGAACGGTAAGAGTCCGCCGGTGGAAGATGACCGTGTGATCCGCACTTGCAAGCCAAGGCATTCCCGAAACAATGTCGAAGTCCGTATCCAAAATGTCAAATGTTACCGGTTCGCATGCATGAGGTGCGAAATACACCAGTACGGCCTCGATATATCGGTCGATAAGTTGCTGCGTCCTTCCGTCCGCCAACTTGATCGCCGTCGGGTTTGCCTTCCTTCGAACTTGTGCACCAAGGCCAGCCCTTTGCATAAAGGCTTGGCTCATAAAATTGCGAGACGCACCGCTATCCAGCAAAGCGCTGCAGGACGCTTGTCCAACTTGGATGCGGACATCGAGGAGCGGTGCGTTGTTGTCGTCGTACTGTTGATTGCGAAACTCGAGGGCCACCTTTGTAACATACGCAAGGATGTCCCCCACCACGACTTCGTCATCCGTCGGCGAAGTTGGTGGTGCATAGAAGGATAAGTACATGTGAAGACGAGCGCAAAGTGCTGCGCAGTGCGGTCCCGGCAAGCGGCCCGTGGTCGGGAGAGGAAGCCATGCGAAATCCCCGGACGTGAGCGGGTCCAATACCTCTATGTTGAACTCGCGCGCGGAATCCCTTGAAGAACCACTTGAAGACGATAACTCGCCGTTGTCGGACGGAGAAGATGGCGCACACACGTCTTGTCCTTGAGCTTGAGTACGCAGCGTAGGAACGAGCCGGGCAGCATAGTCCTCAAAAGAATAAAGAAGAGGAGGACTATCGACTTCCACGTGGGCCTCGGAACAAAGGGCCGTCACCCGCAAAGTGACCGGTTCCAAAGGCGTCGAGAGTGTCGTGGAGTCACTCCCGGCGGTGCTCAGTTTCCCGATTTGCCCTTGCCTTTTGATTGGCAGGCCACTGTCTCATGAAGATCGTTATTGCACCATAGGCAATAGTGAAATCTTGTGCGTGCTTTGAATGCTTTCTCGGAGAGACCGTATCGGGACCATGGGGCTGGAGCTGCTGCGTCGGGCCCGGGGCTAGATGCGGTGTTTGTCTTCGCCTTGCCACGTCCTCGGCCTTTGCCTGGGCGGCCACCTTCCCGGGCGGCTGCAAGTTTGTCCCCTTCATTGGCAGACACGACCTCGCTAGTTTGGTCAAACGGCGTTGTCGCCGCAACCACGGGCACTTTCGGCCGATGCTGATCTCTGCTCGGGCCTGCCGCAGATGAACGCAGGTTCTTAGCCTCCTCGTTCGTGATAATAATCTGCGCGGCCTTGTCAAAGAGTTCCGCCGTTGTCGTCAGGGTGTCCTCAACGTGAGTCAAGGCATTGCTCAATGTCGGACACGACCTTGAGATAAAATAGTGGCGGATGGCTTTGAAGCCCATTTGGATGTCTGGGACGGATGTCAAGCGTTGGTACTCGGCAATCCAGTCGACACTCGGCAGCGTGCCTTGTTCAAAGACCATCAGCTTGTCCATCGCCTTGATCTCTGGCGGCTCTACCTGGAACCGCTTATGCCACGCCGCCTTCAGATCATCCCAGTTGATCTTGGTATGCAAGTTGGCAGCTACTACTCCGTACTTGGACAAGAGATTGTCCAACCATGCTTGGCACGCGCCCCCCGACCGGGAGTATAAGTACGCGTGGTGCTTGTGTTCTTTGACGTAGTGTAGCTGCAGCATGAGCTCGAACTTGCGGAACCATGAAATCGGATCTGTCTTCGTCGAGTCGCAGAAGATCTCCTGCCCGTCGAACTTTGGAGTTGTCTCGCGCGGTTCCGAGCTCGAGTGGTTGGCGACAGTATAGATCCGCTGCTCCAACTGTTGTGTTGCGGTTTGCTGTAACTGCATGCCGTCCTTGAGGGAGCCGACGTCCGTCTCCAATGCCTTGAGGCGATCGGAGGTGTTGGAAGAGCTGGCATCGGGGGCGGCGACGGGTCGATGCTCCAACTGTCGGAGGCGGCTGTGTACTTGAGTCAACGCGTCATCGAGGCTGTGGATGTCCTGTAATGCATGTTGCTAGGAGGTCCGTGAGATGGGACAGGAGTAGAGCGATCTTGTTTTCACTCTCTTCCATCTTGCCATTCTCGGCCTCGGCCCGCCAATCCGCTGCCATTGTGAGCAAAGCTTGCTCTCCGCTGAATATCCTCTCGCGACGTTGAACTCATTCTTCATCGGCAGCCTTTGCTGCTGCCTCGTCATGCTGGCGTTGTTGTTCAATTGCCAGCAGACGTGCCTTCTCGGCGTCCTCTGCCTTCTTCTTCGCTGCGGTTGCTACGTCATCCGCCCGTCTCTTGGTTTCGGTACTCCAGGCCAGCATCCCTAACGTTTTAATCAATAAAATTTAATTAATGATAATTCACGGAATAAACCCGAATGATAATCGGTAATAACGATCACCAAATAACGAATTTGAAAAGGTATGATGATTAGGTCTCTTTGAGATCAATATGAGACCGGGAGTTCACTGTTTAATAAGTGGACTGCCCGGTAGTTGCAATTTAAGGTCAGATACGGCTTAGTGTGCTGAAAAAATTTCGGAAATTTTCAGA